AAAGAAAATCATTTTTTTTTCTTATTATTATTATTATTATTATTATTATTATTATTATTATTATTATTATTATTATTAATTTTTTTTCGTTTCTTTCTTTATGTTTTTTAATTTTCTTTTTGTTTTCTTTTTTTTTTTTATTATTATTTTTTTATTTATGTGACATAAATGATTTTGTAATGACGTAATATAATCTGATTATTAATAATACGCGTATGTAGTATAACATGCTGTAGTATATATACATATATATATATATATATATATATATATATATATTCTTTTTCTTTTCTTTATGCATAAGTTAAGAACAAGAAGTAAAAGAAAAAAAAGAACAACAACAAGACGAGGATTAGCAAGGTATTCATTTCGTTTCCTATGCATATCACTCTCTCTCACACTCTCTCTCTCTCTCTCTCTCTCTCTCTCTCTCTCTCTCCATGTTCATCTCTTTATCTATTTATCTATCTCTCTTCCTCTCCTTTTTAATCAAATGCAGTTTCATAAATATGCAACGAAGCAACGAGGTTGTGTAATATACGTTACTACTATTCGCGCTATGAATCTATCATCGCTTCTAAGTTAGCATGTATTTATATAGAATAATTATTCTTTTCCTTATTTTCTTTCCTATCTATATATATATATATATATATATTTTTTTTAAATATCTATAACTTAAAATAAACAAAAATATTAAATTAAACGCGTCGATAAATATGTTGGAAGATTAACATATCGTTTATTTTATATATATTGGAGGAGGATAAAATTTGGGGGAGGATAATTTTTCATTCAAGTATAATAATTTATCAGTAATTGATAATTAAATATTTGTATCTAATATAAGAAAAAAAAAAGAAGTTACAAAGGTTCAAACGTGTGAACGTGTGAACGTGTGATTGAGCAAGAATAATAATTATATTAATATGTAAATTGATAATTAATAATTACTATATAAATAAAAATAAAAATAGAAAATAAAAAATAAATATGTAAAAGTTGAGAAATAAAGTTTTGGGTGAAAATTCGATAGTAAACAAAATGTTAATTGAAATATATATTATAGTAGTAGAAGTAGTAGAAATAGTAGAGTTTATAATATATATATATATACACATTATACTACATATATTATATAACTACATTATTATTATATATATTATATAACTACATATATATATATATATACTACATTACTTGTACTTTAGTATACTTATATACTATATGGCCTATAGGTAGGCCTATAAGTACTATAGTACTACAAGTATACTTATTATAGTATACTATAAGTATACTATAAAGTATATAAGTATAAATATATATATATATATATATATATATATATATATATATACTTAAAGTATATATATTTCAGTAATAGGAAATCACGAGAATTAAAGAAAGGTGTATTATCAAATATATATAAAAATTAATGAA